AGCATGCAGAGAACTGGTTACACATTTCAGGCCTCAGTCTGTTTGAATGAACTCCAGTAGCAAATGACTGTACACCACCCTCTTCTGCAGCTCTGGAGAGATCTGTGACTTTAAATTCGTAATTGTTATTTGGCATGGTTTTACTTCCCTTTTCAGAACAGGACTGAACATCCTGATGAAGTTCCCTGCAAGCAAAGTGGGTTTCCTGTAAAAAGTCATTTCCAGCTATTGATATCAAATGCCCCTGAGAGCTCAGCTGAATTTGGCTGCAAAGAATTTGCACAAACCATGACTGACTGAGAGGTGTTCTCAGAATACAAACTGTCGAGTTTAATCTACCCTATTGTGCTGGTACCAAACTATGTCTGGAGCTGCAGCTGGCTAAATGAAGAGCCCAGCTTTGCTGTGTGCATTATAAGCAGGACAGGATTTCACAATAGCTTTGCATAACCCCTTTGTGCAGATATCCAAGGGCTAATAGGACTGATTAACCTCAAATACGGCTTAGAACAGCCAGGCATCAGAGAACACTGTCTCTTTCATAACATGCCAGCAAAAATCTCGTGAGGATGGTCTCAGCAGAGTATGCAGCCAGATTTCTACCTACCCTTTACCTCTGCGGCAAAAAGAAGCTGGCATTCTGTATAGTATCAACTCTCTCATAATCCAAACTGAGTGGTGGGAGAGATATGTTATTTATGTGAAATCCTTTCCCCCAAGGCACAAAACCTGCCACTGACCCTGTCATAAGTTGTCACACAGCCATGGCAAAAGGGAAATTACACAAGAGTGCAAAACTGTTTATGGAGCCAGATCACACACTAGTCCCAGTGCTGCCTCATGGGTAGTAGGTGGGGCTTTTGGCATTTGTATGGGGGCTCTCCAATGAGACTCACAGCAGGACAAGGCTCCAGCCTTCTGGTGTTTTTTTTAACAGCAGCCCCCTCCAGTAGGGTTGGGGCATGGGAGGAGCTTGCCCAAACTCAAAAAATACTGACATGCAGCACCTTACGAGGATGTGCAGCCTAGACAGGACACACTGCAACATCTAGAAGGACAAGGACAGCTGAAACTGTAAGTACATCTACCTTCTCCACTTCTTTAATAGCACTAGTAGTTTGTGGAGTGGCATGTTCTGGCTGCACTTGTGTTAGCAGTGTAACCCTGCTGCCTTTCCCTTTGGTCCATGTATTAACAGCTGCAGAAAAAAACCTAAGCACCCTATAAACATATTTACATGAAGAGATGGAAATTTCAAAGTTCAGCTTTCCTGTACATCTAAAAAAATTCAGCTGTATCTGGAAGATTCTTCTGTTTGTCTCTCCCATCCCAAAGCATTGATTTAAGTATGAAAAAATATTTCTAACAAGCAGTCACTGACAGTACTATCCATAGTTACAAAATCCAGAGCTGTGAGGGCTACCCAGTAGTAGTTAAGGAAAAGTATGTTGGGAAGCAGCTGGAATTAGCCAGCAAAGAGAAACTAGCTCATTCAGTAGCCAATAGAAGTGATTAAGCAGCATCTTTGTCTTTGAAGTGGCAATAAATTGTTGTAGGAAGTTTCAGTGTAATTGCTCCTATTTGCTTCTAATTATATGGCTTTCTGTTTCATGATGCTTTGTTGACTTGTTAACACCATGGACAAAGTCTATTAATAGAGTACAACTATGCAACAGTCTCTGGTAACCATCATTCTGGTCAGGTCTGCTGGAGATGATGCACCTTCAGGCTGGGACAGAGAAGGAACAGCATCTGCCTTTACTACTAGTAGCTGTATCCAGCTCTTTGATACAGACCTTCCCTTGATCTATAGTGATAACTGAAAGTGCTGCTAGAAAAAGCTCAATATTTAAATGGCTCCACATACTACTTTACATTCTAAAGGAACACAGTACCACCAGGTTTTGTGACCTTTTTATTGGTGTGCTTTAATAAAAACTTTTAAACTTCAGATCCCAAGAACTCTTTATAGCCGCCTCTAGGCAGGGTATGGAAGGGGATTAATAGACTTCAACAGCAGTCCAGATATTGCAAGAAGATGGAACAGCCAAGGAAGTAGTTAAGTAGCATAAAGCAGTTGGTTTTACAAAACTCACATTGTTGCCCAAGAAATAGGTAATTTAGTTATAGCCTGAGAAGACAACATTCTATGACCTAAGAATCTAGATAATCACTGAATTATTATGTGCCCTTTGCAACACAAAGGGCAAAGGACATTGTAATATAACAGAAGGCAGAGACTGTCAGAATGTAGGTGTCATGCTACAGTCTGCCTGGTTAACAAAAGAAGTTATATATGGAGGCCACTAAAAGCTCAGCATCTAACTAGATCTGATTATTTCAACAGTGGTTTTGAATACTTTCACTCGCTTTGTTTGGGGCAGTGTTTTTAAGTTTTCACCTTTTTTCCTCACATGTGAAGGCTATGGAGGAAAATAGTTATTTATTCAGAAATGCAAAAACTCATTTATCCACAGGACTCTGAGGCTACAGGCCTTTAAGAAAGTCATCAGCTATCATGATAGGCCAAATAGTTAAGGACACAGTCAACACCAGATCACCCACCAAACCACTACTGGTTTTTCATCCAGAAGGGAAGACTTAAGTCCTTTTAACTTTCAGAATTTCACAAAATTCCCTTCCTCCTGTAGAGGTAGTTTCCTGGTCCTGGTGCTCTGTTCCTGCAGGGCTAAATGGGTTTCAGCCTTTTTTCAGGCCTTCCACCAGTTCAGCTACAACTGAAAAGCCCATGTGCCATATTTAAGAGATGCCAATGAACTGTGTCTCCCTTCCAGCTCTGGTAAGATGATCAAGTCCTTCAAGCAAACATTTCTGTCCCTGGACCTGAAGTCCCCTCGCTGGAGCTCAGCAGAGGCAGTGGTAACTGGAACAATACTTGTATGCTGATTTGGATAAAGTAGCTACTAATTTCTGTTAACACCTGTGAACATGTGGTTTCTGTGACTTTTGCTGCCTTTCAGGCAAAGGACTATGAACTGCGTCAGTATGAGACAGCAAAGTGGGTCAGCACAGTCATTAGGGGAGAAACCCAGAAGGAAGCAATGCGCCAGGGCTTCTGGAAACTCTTCCACTACATCCAAGGAAAGAACGAAAAAGGTAGAACATGACAGTTTTGAATTGAAAGAATTATACGTAGCTAATTAATATAAATAACAATAGAGGAGCTGGGAGATGCAGCTTAGACACCTGGTTTTCCTTTCCCCTAGAAATGAAGATTGATATGACTGTGCCAGTGACCTGCCTGGTAAAATCAGGCTGCACAGACTTCAAGATCTCTTTCTTTGTGCCTTTTGAACACCAGGACTGCCCCCCACAGCCCACTGACTCCAATGTGTTTATTGAGGAAAGGAAGGCAGCACCTCTCTTTGTCCGGTAAGCAAAACCAGCAGCTGACACCAGATGAATCAGCCCTCATTTAAGTGTGGACTACATTTTCTTAAGAGATATTAAGTGTGGATATATCCTACTGTTCAGTTTCAATTGCTAAAACCCAGCCATTGGATCTTATGCTTGGGTGTCTTACCATAGTCAAGTGACCAAGTTGTGAAACACTGATCTTTTTTTTTCCAAGACCATTGAAAATTGCATTGATTTTCATAGAGATGCAGCCTCCAGAATCATCTTCTGATGACAGCTTGTTCTACAGAACATCTAAACCATTCTCCCAGCACTCTTATTTGTAGTCCTGAACTGCCACAACACATGCAGGGCAGTTGTTACCTGGGTGTTTGCTTGTTTTAAATATTATCTTTGAAAACAGACAAAATACTTGTGTTACTCAACTACAAATTGCATCCGAAGTGCTCAAACTAGCTTTGCAAATCTGAAGTTGTCTGAAAATAAAGCCAGGGACTTGAACCAAAAAATTTCCCTCACTTTTACCAGGTCCTTCGGTGGATTTGCCACCCCAGAGAAATATGCTGAGGAAGCTGACATCTTGGCCAGAACCTTAAGAAACAGAGGCCAGCCATTCCACGAAGACTTCTTTTACACTGCAGGCTATGACAGTCCCTTCAAGCTCTTTAACAGGCATAATGAAGTGTGGTATTTTAAAAAGTAACATGATGGGAGAATATTAAGAGGCTACTAATCAGCTCTGGATGAAAACCTTAGTATTGGCTTTTTGCTCTAGTGCAGAAGAGCATTAATTTGAATGGACACAATGTCTTTACTTTCTCTAGGATGAAGCACTCTTCTGGCTAAAACCAGTTCAAAATGCAATTCAAGACACCAGGTGGATTGAGCAGGAAACAAACTTTATTTCTCTTATTGAAAGGTTCTAAGCAACAATAATATCTGAAAATAATCTTGTTGAAGTTTAGCTACATAGCTTTACTTCCTATTAGACATGCTACAGCACTAGTTGAAGTGTTATGGAAAGGGAGTTCTTCCTAACTGACTTTCATAAATAGACTTTCCTCATATTGACATCACCCTTGACACCAGAGATGTATTTAAATGAACTTTTAAGAGAAGCAGGTTTCCATTAATGAGCATTAGAAAGCAAAAACATCTTAGCAGATGTTTTTTAGTGACTCATAAACAGTAACTGTTATTAATTAGTATTATCAAAATCTCACACCTCTCCAACTGAACTTTTTTTCCTCCTGAAGGCCAAATGTGTTGTTTAAATTCAGAACCCTTGGAAAAGGGTTAAAGTCCAAGCTGTACACTTGTTCTGAGAAGATCTGCACCTGAACATGTAATACCAGGATTACTAGTAGACTATTATTTTAGTAGCAAATAAACAAGTTTAGCTCTTACCTTAAACACTTGAAATACTCCTTAAGTTATTTAGCTTTGTCTAAATATGGTCACCTGCAGCCTGCACACCAGCAGTACTTGACACCTCAGATAAGACTAAGTGTCTAATACAGTTTAGTCCCTGCACTAAATTAAACATTTTCAATCTTAATATAGCAGACTGAAGGTGTTTTACATCAAGTTGTTACAGCCAGAAAGGATGTCACAACGCCAGGTAGGGTTTGCAGATTTTTATTGGCTCCAATCAGCATCAGGCAAACATTACCAGTGAGGTAAGAACACATTGGCTTTTTTAGTGCTGTTCATGCAAGTGTAACCCATTTATGAGCAATCTTCCACCTATTAAGACAGACATAAGAATCATTATAAGGTACCAAACCAGCCCAACACACTTGACGGGAACAATTCAGACCATAGATTTTCATCTCTGTTCAGTGAGAGAGTTCAAGCTAAGGTTGTCATCACTTGTTCCAACAAGTAACATTATTACAACAGTTACACTCACCTTCTCAACTCTTCATTTCCAGTTTCAGAGTTGCCTCTTTACCTAAATTAGAAAAAAAACCAGTTTGCATACATAGCAGCACAACTGCTAAAAGCTCCACAACAACTTTGTAACCTCAGATGGAAAAGGAACGGAAAGGGTAATATCACAGTAATTCATTTGGCAGAATCAATTTCATCAGTGGCTACAAATATTTCCAGAAGCTTTTAATTCAATTAGTTTGCTGTGTGGACTTACCCACAGTGAGGCTGCAGACAGAAGTCCCTTCCTAACAAAGAAAAGTACTTTCAGAATAACAGCAGCATTATATATGCAAAGTTTATTTATCCATTAATTTCTATTCACCAAACTATTTTATCTAAAAGGAAACTGACTTTTAGCTGGCATCTTAGGAGTTCAACTTGCAACACACAAATAGGATACACAAAGCTTACAACTGCTAACTTAATTGGAAATACAAAACTACTAACATTGGAAGAATCAGGGACTTTTTTATTTTAATTCCAGAGTGCCATGTTACAATAGTGCCCACAGAACAGGCACATACAATAAAGGGAAGACAAAGCAAGTATCTTATAGGACTAATTCTAGGCACCACTATTAAAGCATTCAGCGCAAAGACACTATTCCAGAAATTATTAAACCCCATGTATTCTACACTTACCTCAGACACATCTATCTTGTTTCTTAAACTCCATGCAAGCTTCACCCTGTGAAGATGTGAAATTGTACTAGCACATTTTTGGCAGTGGTTTGAGAGTGTGATTGTGGGTACTGTTTCAGCACAAGAGTTCTCCTCAGCCTCTTTCAGAGAGATTCCCATTGCTTAGAATTCATCACAAACAGTACATGCCAAGACCAGGTTAATGTTAAATCTCTGGTTTGTCCTTTAAAGGGGATCTGACCTTGAAATTTGGGACCTTACTCCCAACCGTATCTTCATTCACTTCACCATAAAAGCTCTGATCTAGCCATTGAGATAAACTATTTACCACATAAGCATTCAAGATCAGTGCTACTCCATGGAAAAGTCCACTAAATTTAAACAGCAAGAAGTTTAATAGCAAGTAATTGTATTGCATTTGTTCAGCCCAGAATGTGTGGCAACATGGTAGCATAGAGCTTTTCTTATCAAATAGGAATTTAAATAGTCCACAGCAGTTACACATTTTAAATGGTCCCCACTATTTGTTTTTAGTCACAGAAAGCAGGTAATTTTAAGTTTGAGATATGCAGCACCTACAGACAGAATCCTACAGGCTGCTGGCAAATCTGTGAGCTTTTTACCTGGAAAGTATAATAAAATCATCAAGAACCCTGCTTAATGCTGCAGCTGCACTGTAAAGGTAAGAATCCAGTAACTTTCTCATTCCCTGTATCACACAGTTCTGACCAGTCACTCACGTGTTAGCAACTTACTTTTCCTGGGAGCACTACCACGTCCATCACTTCCCAGTTCCATCACACCTGGATCAAAGCAAATCATTAGGACAGTACAGAAACAAGCACAGAAGGAAGAAATTCAAGTCAGGCGCCTGCAGTCAGATAGAGCTAATTAAAGACCTCCATGATTGAAGTCAAGGCAGTCACATTTCATCACACAGGCAGCTCACACTGTCAGCCCCTGTGCAGCCTTGCTAAAGGGCTAGGCTGCTATGGGGAAGAGAGCAAATACTTTAAATAGTGCTATCAGAGCAAAGTCAAGAGCTCACAATGATGAGTTTAGCACACACCAGCCTGTAAAGACTGGGCACCAGTGAGCTGTCCCTTTAAAACACCCTCCTGTTTTGGCCAAGATGCAAGCTACAACCAACCTTGCGCCCCTTTTCCCCTAGCTGATAAGCTGTTAAAAACTTAGAAGCCTATGTTGAAGTCCTAATTCTTAGAAGTTAAAACAAGTACTTACTTCACAATGAGAAACATTAGGAAGTCTGCAAAGAAGAATTTGCTATTAGGCAGGGTCCAGCAGAAGTTATAGCAGTAAGAACAGTTCAAGTAAAATACTGTATCAGGGTTTGGTCAAGTTTTATCCTCATGGGGATCAGAGACCTGATTCAACATCATTTACAGTAGGCTGCAACACTCCCATCCCCCCTCTGAAGGCAGGGTGTAAGGCCATCTCCTAGCACTCTCCAATGCTGTGATATGTTCATTCCTCAACTCCAGAGTGTGCTGAAATTACATGAAGGAGCAAACTTTGCAATTGCAAAGTTCAGTGACCCGAGCTTTGTGTACTTAAGTTGTGCATGTTAAGGAAAATAATTTCAGACACTAAATTCACAGTAATGTGGCATTCACCATTTAGTTTCAACAAGAAAATTCTACAGATCATTAACACCACAATTATTTCATGCTCTTACTCTGAAAGACAGTAAGCTAAAGGCACACTTACGATACTAATCTTCGCCTCACATTTTTTAAGAACAAAATTAATTTGCAAGCATCTCTAAAAGCAAACTCTCAAATGTGGCACAGACAGCAGTAGCATCCATCTGAAAAACAAAGGTTTATTAATTAGGAAGGTCTTGTCTTCACCAACATCAGTAACAGGTGAAATAGTTTCTCACACAAGAGACACAGGGCTCCTCCATCCAGGGCAGTCCACAAAGCAACAAAAGACTTTCAGAACCTGGAGTACTAACACCTAATTAACCTTAATTTTCCTATATTCTGTGCTTGACTTCATAACCACATCTCATTCTCAATATTTCCATTCATCTTACTAGACTTTTTTGATGTTTAACCCACTTACTGGTCTACTGAGATACTTTTAAGACACATTCATGGAACAAAATAAAGTGTTTCACCTTCAGCTTCCCACATGATTTGTTTGAAATAGCCTAAGCTACAGGAGGCTGAATCAGACAGGAGGGTTAAGACAGTAACTGTGATCACCACAGGTTATCTGCTGAACTATGCAGTCATCACACAACAGCCTTTCCAGATAGCAGGGATGAAATGAGTTTTCACAGATGTCAGTAATGCAGTATTTACCTTGTAACAGCTTAGTTTAATCTCTCAGTGCCTGCAACAATAGAAAACAAAATCAGATCCCTTCAGCCTTTGCACTCAAGCCCACAGCTCCTATTGGGAGACCACAAGAGCCAGATACATCAGATAGGGGCGAAGAACAAAAGCGTTCATCACAGGATATTCTGCTGAACTATGCCATCATCACTGTATCTGTATACCAAGCAATCACCTCTTGTGACTGCTTTGACAAGCAAGTTTCCCCAATTAAAAATGTAATATTTAAAAGTTTGAATACTAGCAAGTATAAATTGTTTCTGTTCTTAGTGGAAGTTAATCATAATATGCATCCCGTCCTTACTAACGTGTCTAAACAGCTCAGTGGAAGAAACCTCAACATGAAGTGCATATTTCTCACCAGGTGATGTTTCTTCTATGTATCTCTGAAGTGCAGGATTCAAGTTCTAGAAGAAAAGAACCTGTAAACAGTATATTCAGCAATCAAAGCATCAAGGGGAATTTTATGTTGCTGTGCCTCAGAAAACTGTTATGGTGGTAAAATTGCTCATCACTCTCTTGGTCAAGAGTAGCAAATAAGTGTCATCACTGTGGCACCAGAGAGACAGCTTTGCTCAAGGAATTAAGCTGTTTTCTGATATCAGAGCAGAAGATGCTATATAGACAAACACTAAGCACCATTTTATATTTAATTTTCAAGTTTATTTGTTTTTTTTTTTTACCTTGGGAAGAAGTAGCTTTAAGTCTCCACATTCGGGGGCAGATCTGGAAGAGATAAAAGAGTTAGAGATGTTTGCAGAACTAGGGAGCTTCTCTGGGGGAACCACATCAGAAAGCCTCAGAACTGAGTTTTCAGAAATCACTTCTGTCCACTACTCTTATACTGAAACCATCACAGGCTTTGAGATTTACTTAACATCAATCCCTCTAATTACCCATTTTATACAACATACTCCAGGCAGTTTTTTAAAAACATTATTTATTGCTGTGAACAAAGAAACAGCAGTAAGGAAGGAAAAAAAGCGACCCGGGGGTACTCTTGTAGTCTGGTTACACTATGAGCAGTAGTTCACAGACACACTCCAGGACAAATGAACGGGTGACTTCCAGCAGAAAAGTGAGGCCTGCCCCAAGACACTACAGACAACACCTGAATTACAACTGCTGATACTGTAACTCCATGATACAACAGTACTCCAGTCTAGTTGGTATACACAAATCCAACATTTGTTAATTTTAACGCTGTATTTCAGAAGCAACATTTACCTGTACTGAAGCCACAAGAAGGAAGAGTGTAGCTGATGCATGTTGAACTGAAAACAAGAAAGCACATTAGTTTTTCTTCTCCCAAAAATAATGCAATATTCACAATTATTACTTTGAAAAATCCAAGCAACGTCCAAAATACTTGGAGTTTGAAGATTTCCTCTGATGCAATCTGAATTTCGGCTCTTTGAAGAATTGAAACCACAAAAATTAATTGCTATTAAGTATTTTTAAGCAGGATATGATTACTAAACTACTTTGTTTTCTACATCGATTCTGGTGTTTTTTCACTGGGGCAGCCAGGCACGTGTGAACTTAGGCTGCTTAGAAAGGCCCAGTGGTGTCTCAGCCATCCCGGATAGGCTATCAGAAGCATTCCATGCCCAGCTCAGATATGTTGGCATTCATCACCCTCTCAGATGTCCCTACCAACATAGTTTTCATCATATGCAGAGCATACAGAAGTGAAGTAAGCCATTTTTCTTTAAATGTGCTGAGTTAGGACTTACAAGGACCACGGAGTCCAACTCTTAGACTCGTAAAGGACTATAGCCAAGAGCCACCACATGTGCCTGAGAGCACTGTCCAAATGCTTCTCAAAGTCTAGCAGCCTTATAACTGTGAAGCCCGTCCTTAACCCTTCTACAATACGTGCATTCCCAGCTGGGCGGGGATCCTTAATCCTTCCGTAATGCTACTACTGCTTTTTGCACGACGTTTTCCACTTATCTGCAAAAACAAGCTCCTTAAAGCCCAATGCAATTAAAAAAAATCCAAGCCCACAAAAAGCGGAGACCTATTGCTGGTATTTGCAGCGGGCACGTGACTTCGACATACTGCGCACGACCACATCTTACAGGTAACAGACTGGTAGACAAGACCCCGTAACTCAACGCCTGAGGTATCACCCTGAGCCGTTACTCTCCCAAACCCGTGTGGGGCTTTACAGAATCCCCCTCACACACCCCCTGGGCTGCCATGAGGCACAGCCCCCGCCGGCCTAGGCCGCGAAGAAACCCGGCCACACAATCCACTTTAATCCTCCCTCGCCATCTCGCATCAGCGACCGACCCGCACTCATGGGGCCCTTATGCCGTTCCCCAGACCGGTACCACCGCACCCCGAGCGTGGAATATGCCCCCACTCACCGGCGGGGCCATAGCCAGCACACAACATACCCAGCGCCGCGGGACCAAAAAAGAGGAAGAGCTACCCGCGACCGTTCCTTATATAACGTAAGTCACGTGGTGATGACGCACCACACCCACTGGGGTGTGGTCCGCAGGCAGGGGCGAGGCGGAGGCCTACAGGCCTCATGGCGTTTCCTTCCGGGGCGCGGCTGGCGCTGGCGCGTTTCGGTTCCGGGCCGGCGCTGCGGGCCCTTCCCACCCCCGGCAGGTGAGGCTGGGCCGGGAGGGGCAGGGGAAGCCGCCCGGGGCTCCGGGGGTGCGGAGGGGCGGGCGCGGGCCGCCGCCTCGCGGGGCCAAGGGTGGAAGGGGCGGGGGCTGGGGGAGGTTGGCCCCGCCCGCCCCGCGCACTCCCGGTCCGGTGCGGCGTGGCTGTCATGGGTCAGAACGAGCCGTGGGCCCCGCTTCAGAAGGGTCCCGGAACGATGGGGCGGGGAGACACCGGGCTTTGTGAACCGGGTCCCGTGCGCGGGGTGGGGGCGGGCGAGAAGCCACCGCCGCTCGTCTCAGTTTAGAGTTACGTTTGTTTTTATAGTTGTTGGAATCCCCTTAGAATGTGCAAGTAGCCAAATAGATTTATTGGAAAGAAATTGTTACCTGTGAGGGTAGTAAGGTCCTGGCACAGGTTGCCCAGAGAAGCTGTGGCTTCCCCTGGATATCTGGCAATGTCCAAGGCCAGAATGAACGGCGCTTGGAGGAAGCTGGGCTCTAGTGGAAGGTGTCCCTGCCCATGGCAGGGGGTGAAACGGTATAAGCTTTAAGGTCCCTTCCAACCTAAACCATTCTGGGATTTTAAGTAGCTCTCTCTGGAAGCGGGGACAGGACCCGTGGAACGGCTGGAATTGTGTCAGAGGAGGTTTAGTCTGGATGTAAGTAAAAAGTTCTTCCCCCAGAGGGTTTTCGAGCACTGAACAGGCTCTCTGGGGAATGGTCACAGCCCCAAGGCTGTCAGAGCTCCAGTGGTGTTTGGACAATGCTCTTAGGCACAGGGTGGGATTGTTGAGGTGTCTATGAAAGGCCAGGCGTTGGACTCAGTATGAGTCTGTTCCAGCTTAGGATATTCTGTGATTCTGTGAAGCTGCCCAATTACAGTAAATCTCAACCCAAAAGCTGAGAGTATTCAGTGCAGCTTCCAGGGTGGCATCATCTGCTGGGTGGTCTGTCTCTGCTTCTTACCTGATGGGTCAAGAATTCCACCCGTTCCTGGTAGCTGACTCACAGGCTGGGTGGCATTTGCTGACATAAGACTGAGTCTCAGCTGGTGACATTTCAGATTTTTAAATGGCGGTGTCTCAGTTTGTGCCCTGTGCTGACTCAGCTTAGCCTGCAGGTAAAGGTGGGTGGAGGTGACAGACTTCCCAGAGAAGAGAGAAATCAGGATGTCATTGCCCTGTGGCTGAGGTGCAGAAGCTGACTAGAGGTTCCCTTACTCAGGTTCCTTAATCAGCCTCTGACAGGGTAGTTTGAACCAAGAGACAGATTCCCTCTCACCAGTCTCTGAGTGGATCATAACACGGAGTTTCCTTGACACTGAAGTGAGCAGAGCTCTGTGGGTTATAAAGAGTAGATGGATTTTCCCTGCCTTCTGAGCAGGAGCTCACAGATAATTTGTTGGGCTCTCTGGGGAGCAGCTGCCTTCTCTCCACAGCCATGCCCAGCCGTGCTCATCAGTTAAGGTCTGATGATTTTTTTTTTGCCCTTCTCTTTCTGTATATCCCAAGCTCAGCCTCTGCCTCTCTCTTGCCTCCCTGGGTGCTCATGGTCTTGGCAAGGGTGTTTCACCCTTGTCTTTCTTGAGAGTGTACCCTGATGCTTATTGCTTTAGGAACAACTATTTTGGGGAAATGGTGAGCTAATCCTGCTGCTAGATCCTCCACCAAAACCAAGAATGATGAAGCTTGATGTTCACAACTGTGCTTGGGAGAACACAATTCCTCAGCACTTAATTTTTTCTTTCTTTTTGCCTCCTAAGGGGAAGGGGGAAACAAGTTTTCTTCTTACTACATCAGAAGAAAAAGAGAAGGCAGTACCCCCATATCCTTCCCACTGCATGTAACTCACAGCATTCCAGGTAACATGTTGGGTTTTCTATTTCCCCTTGTTCTGTGCAGCTGATGTTCTGCTCCCAATGCTGTGTTGACAGACCTGTGCACTGTGGTTTCCTGATTTTTGTGGGGTTTGTTGCTTTCTCCTAAAAGGGAAGGACATGGAGCTGTTGGAGTGAGTCCAAAGGAGGCACCAAGATGATCAGAGAGATGGAGAAGCTCTGATGTGAGGAAAGGCTGAGAGAATTGGGGTTGTTCAGCCTGAAGAGGAGAAGCTTCAGGATGACCTAACTATGGCCTTCCAGTTGAAGGAGCTGACAGGAAAGATGGAGAGAAGCTATTTACAAGGGATGGAGTGACAGGACAAGGGGGTATGACTTCCCACTGACAGAGAGTAGGTTTCGATTGGATATTGGGAAGAAATTGTTTCCTGTGAGGGTAGTGAAGTCCTGGCACAGGTTGCCCAGAGAAGCTGTGGCTGCCCCTGGATCCCTGGCAGTGTCCAAGGCCAGATTGGACAGGTCTTGGAGCAAGCTGGGCTAGTGGAAAGTGTCCCTGCCCATGGCAGGGGTTGGAATGGGATGGGCTTTAAGGTCCCTTCCAACCTAAATGATTCTGTGATAGGGGGAGGAGAGAAAAAGCCCTAAGATCTGGCACTGTTCAGCTGCACCTTGTGAAGCTTTGTGCACTCTGATCTGACTTCCCCAGGGACACGCAGCCATCCTGCCACTCGAAAATCCCTTGACACAACTCCACAAGATTGAGAGGCTGTCCTGCAGTTTCATGTTTAATAATTGGGTTTGCCAAGTTTGCACAAAGCCTGCTTGGGCATATGGACATGTACTATGCTGCAGTGTACAGAAATTCCAGATAAAAAGTCCTCCTAAGGCAGACCATGCTCTTCATGTGCCAATCCCTTAGATTTGGAGATTCCTCAGAGTGGGCACTGTGAGCCTTGGTATTCCCAGCCTGCTTTAAATGATTTTGACATCTGCTGGACTCTCCTCAATCCACACTTCAGATGCTATCCAGCTTGGAAGCTGCTTATGCCACGAGTGGACTTTAACAAGCTTATTTACTTTTTTTTCTTTTTTTTTTTTTTTTAATGAGTTTATGTCTCACTTTTATTCATTCCAAATGTTTGACGTATATGGTCAGGGCTTCTTTTCAAACTTAGCTGAAATGAAATGTGATGATGTGGTGGTGCATCCCCAAGCCCCCCTCCCTGGCCCTGCTCTGAGATCTCCTGATAAGCCTTAGTGGACTTGGCTGAGTGGTGAAGGGTCCCTCGTCTGCATCAGCTGGGCTGTGAGGTGCTCCCTGAGCCTACCAGGAGCTCTTGTGTGGTAGAGGTGGGAATATCTAGGAACATCCCAGCCAAGATGGAAAACAAGGGATAAGCCACGTGTAGCTTGGGTAAACCATTTATCTGGATTGCAGCCCAAGCAAAGCAGCACCATTGTGAATTGTAGCCTGAGTGGAACAGTCTCATCATTGCTCTACTTAGGAAAAAGTCCAGGAGTTACTGACTTACGGTATGGCCAGGATGGGAACTTAGGATGACCGAAGTGAAGTCTCTTGGGACCCTACAAAAGTGATCCTGAGATCCCTCTGAGCCCTCCTGGGCCACAGCTTATTTTTTCAACCTCCTGTTATATATTATATTGTGTTATATATTTTCTGGTATGTGTCAGAAGTGCCACATATGATGGATATCTCAAGTTAACAAGGCACTTAGGATTCCTTGAGGTCAGATGTGTGCTGGCCAACTTTTCCAAAGTCTCAGGAGGATTTAGGTTCCTGAGGTGTCTCCTTTCCGGTTCCTGTTTACAAATGAGCTTTGCTTATTACTTTCTCTTTTCAAAATGCTTAGAACTTACAAATGGTGTGCATTTTAATCCATTATGCAATCAGGTGGCTATTTTTAATACCTGTGTAGTTTTTAATGTTCTTTTTATATGCAGGTGTGTTTTTATTGAGGTTGGCAGAACAAAGTGTTTCACATACTAAAGCTGCAGGGAATGGGGGGGGGTCTGTCAGGGACTGGTTTAGCAAAGCTCTTGTGCAAGGGGATGCATACCATGGAGAGATCAGAGAGCTTTTGTAATGTTTTTTTAAGCAATCTCAAACACACTTGTTCGTGACAGAGCTGCTGCCAAGTGTGTGACAGTTCAACAGGTGAGGAAGGTCTCTAAAAACTCCAGTGTTTCAAACTGTGTGGAAGCAGATGAAGAATGTTTTCATTTCAAATGATTGGCTGTGCTAATGATGGGATCTTTTCCCCCTTTTCCAGCAGAGTCGTGCACCTGCAGCTGGGACAACCATGGAGAAGAGTGGAAACATTCAGCTGGAGATTCCTAACTTCAGTAACTCTGTTCTGAGCCACCTGAACCAGCTGCGCATGCAGGGTCGGCTGTGTGACATTGTGGTCAATGTGCAGGGCCAGGCTTTCCGTGCGCACAAGGTGGTGCTGGCTGCCAGCTCACCCTACTTCCGTGACCACATGTCCCTGAACGAGATGAGCACTGTGTCTATCTCTGTCATCAAGAACCCTTCTGTTTTTGAGCAGCTCCTCTCCTTCTGCTACACTGGCAGGATATGTCTGCAGCTGGCTGACATTATCAGTTACCTGACAGCTGCCAGTTTCTTGCAGATGCAGCACATCATAGACAAATGCACGCAGATCCTTGAGGGGATTCATTTCAAAATTAATGTGGCAGAGGTGGAAGCGGAATTGAGCCAGACCAGGACAAAGCACCAGGAGAGACCACCCGAGTCTCACCGGGCAACACCAAATCTAAACCGTTCCCTGAGTCCACATCACAACACCCCCAAGGGGAGTCGCCTGGGCCAGGTTAGCACAGTGCTGGACATTCGGGAGCTAAGCCCACCTGAGGAGTCCACCAGCCCCCAAATAATTGAGCAGAGTTCAGATGTGGAAGGCAGGGAGCCCATCCTGCGGATTAACAGAGCAGGACAGTGGTATGTTGAGACAGGAATGGGAGAGCGCGGGGCACAGAACGACGAGGAGGTGCGGGTGCTGGGAGGAGTGCGCATTAAGACGGAAAACCTGGAGGAGTGGCTGGGGACAGAGCACCAGCCCTCGGGAGAAGATGGGAGCAGCGCTGAGGAGGTCACGGCCATGGTGATCGACACCACGGGCCATGGATCGCTGGGCCAGGAGGCTTTTGCCTTAGGCTCCTCTGGAGCCAAAGTGGTCAGGCCGACCAGCAGCGAGATCGACAGGTGGGTTTTCTTAAACTTCATTATTCACCTTGGCTGTAAGAGGAGATTATGCAAGATTCTGACTTGGCTGGGTCAGTTGCTTTGGAACATTTCCTCTTTCTATTTCCTTTGGCCATCTTAAGCATTGGCTGGGTAGTGATCAGACCAGGATCTCCAGGTACAGGCTAACTTGGGAAATTACTTATTATCTCTTAGAGGCTGGGATCTCTACTTCAATATTTCAGCTGAGGTAGGATTTTTTTTTTTAAAGGAAGGTGTTCAGTTCAGCCTCAGTAGGTACCAAACTCAGCATTTGGATTAATGAGGCCATATGCAATATATGTTACATATCTCCATTGCACTGGTGCCTTCTGTCCTGAAGATCTGGAGATGGTTCTGACTGAGAAACAGTCCAGACACCAGCTGTAGGTCAAGGTCTTCCCAGTGGTCCATGACAGCAGTGGGCCCTGGGTTTACATCTTCTGAGGCAGTTGAAATGGGTAACCTAGTGGCCTCCACTGTTGTTTTGACTTATATGAGAGAGCAGAACGCCTTTGTTGAAAATGAGAGGTGAAATCTGCTGTGTTTGGATTCTCCATCTGTCTGCTTCTCTTCCAGTCCAGCATTTGCTTTCTTGCCCTAAGCTTGGGCCAGAGAATGGATTTGATAAAGGGCAGGTCTGCTTTATTTGAGGAGGTTGTAATTCTAGGGTTTCCCTTCACATCTGCCTCTCTTCTAGTTCAACCCCATGGGGAAACAGCTACCTGGAAGCAGCAGATATTCTGTCACTTGTCACTTAATAAATCAATCAGTGGGAACAATGTTGAGCTGGCCCTTGGATAGTGATGCTTTCCTACTTCCTTAGCTCTTTTCAATGGATCAGCTAGTCTCTAGCATCTCTTTTTGCACTGCAGTCTGTATGCACTGTTTCCCACCTCTAGTCCATCACATCCCTTAGGTTTCACACTGGGAATGGAGGAGGAGGGTGATGGAAGAGAGGTGTCCTCTGAGAAATGGTTTCTGTCCTACTGTGCAGTTCCTGAGTCACCAGGCACATATTGGTTTATTCATTCCTCTCTGTTGCTGAACTAGAAGCCAAATGACTCAGTTTTATTTCTCAGATGTTCAGACTGAAACAGTAGACTGGGATGATTTGGTTTTTCATTTATATTTGCACTGTTCCACCTCTAGTGTTTTAGCTGATGAGGATGAAGAGATGCTACACAGGTGCCTCTATTACTCACCCATTGTTCTAAATACTGTAGTGACCTGATGCCAGTTAGAAATTCTATTTATGTTCTTGCCCCACCCCACAGATTTAGCCCTTCTGGCAGCATGGTTGCTGTGACTGAGCGGTACAGATCAAAAAGCGAGTCTCCCGGGCGGATGGATGAGCCTAAGCACCCCAGTTCCCAGGTAGGCAGATCAAGACATTTGGAAGTATATGTTGGCTTGAAGGTGAAGGGGACTTTGTTGTGATGAAGTGTGTTATATTTAGTATTTCCAAGCAATAATGTGTGTGATACAAGGACCTTTTACTTTGGCAAAGGATCTATTTGCTCACAGGAGAACATTTGCTGGCCATGTACAATTTAAAACTGATTCTGGCTGTTGTTGGGATTTTGGCGTGATACCTGGAAAACAAAAGGAGTTTCTCTTGTTGTTTGAGGGCATAAATATCCACTGTTATTCTCAGCAGGCCACCAACTCCTGAGGAGAAGCCCCATTTGCCTGCAGAGCTGGATCTGACCTCAAACAACTCCCAGCAAATGACTGAGCAGAGGGAGGAGGTGTGTCTTGGCTTCTGTGGAAGATGGGTGACAACAGCTGAACCTTTCTATGCCAGTACCAAGACCATTTCCAAAAGCCCTCCAGGCACTAGACCAATAAACCTTTTGGGGTGGAGTGTCAAAGAGCTGTGGAGTTTTAGAGAGGTCTCTGTCTTTTCCAAGCGACTGTGTTGCACAGTGGACTTGGCAACATAAAAGCTCTGAATTCTCTGCTTTCTTGGGCACAGTTTTGGGGCAGGAGGGAGAGATGCACAGAAATGGGAAGGCAGTGGGCTGGTAGAGTGCAGCAAAGTAGGACATGGTATTAATGCCTGTGCCTTATCATTTTGAAGTTGCATCCAGTTAGTGTCACAGTGCCACTGTAGTGCAAGCATGTCAGCCAACACAATACAGAAGGACTCTTGTGAGCCTGGCAGGTAGGGAATGTGTCAGTGTGTAAGCAAAGGACTTTGGCTGGAGGTGGGTAAGGAGATACTAGGCTGTTTTGCCCTTGAGTGAGACCAAGTGAAGTGAGGAGGGGGAAATTGTGATTGCTGTCTGCTGACTTTGTTAGACACTTCCATAAAACGACAGATTTTTTGTTCTTGTTTTGCAAAGCTTTGTTTTGTGTCCCCAGAAGACACTGCAAAAATTTCAGGTCAAACCAGCCCTCTAGGGGAAATGTGACATACTAAGTAATTTTAGCTCTGCCTACAGAACAGCTGCTCTTATTTCTCCATTGTGAGGCAGCCTCAAACATGAAACCTTAGGCTTTACACACCATGGGGAAGTATCTTCCTTCCACTCTCTTGGCATTGTGATAGCCATACTAAAATAGCCTGCCTGTGAACCCTGCCCAATGGCAATGGTAGAGTGGAAAGGAAGAACCAGAGCTTTGTGTATCTCCTTTAATCCTCAGCTGCTTCCCTATGCCTGTACAGCTGGATTCAGCAGCACCTGGCATGAGTACACTGCTGCTCATGCCAGTAGAGCCCTGGCTTGTGGAGGAGATGCCCTCCTGCTGTTAACATTTGTTGCTTCTCCACATTTGGCACCTCTGGGAAACAGCACTAGGGGAGTAGATAGTAGGTATTCCTGCACAGAAGCATTCTGGAGTCCGTGTGTTTCTGCTCAGTCTGAATACGATGGCCAGAAGTATCTGTCCTGAGTCCAGGCTTGAGGTTCAGGTTGCCCTTGGCTGTTTGTCTGTGTGACTTGAGAAAACAGAGTCCTTGCTATGCAAATTGGGTCAGGCACACCCTTGCCTGCGATGCCATGGGGCTGGGATGGGTTACACAGCCAGGCAGGCAAACTAGACTCATAAAATGAACTCTAAGTGATATGTGAATAAATACCTGTGTAAAATTACGTCTGAAGACTTGCAGATGTGATTTGTGGTTTGCTCCTCCTTTGTTTTACTGCAAGCTTGGCTTCTTTTTTTTTGAGGTAGTACTCCCTTTCCTTTTAATAAGGAAAACAGAAGGTTATACACCCAAGTGTTTTAATAAAACTGGCACAAATTTTTAAAAAAGTAACAAGTATTGATATGTGATCCACAACTGAATTGGTGGTCAGGTGCCCTTGTGTGAAGGGCTGTCTTTTCTTCACCAGATCCAGGGAATGGCTTGGCAGAAGGGGCCTCTGTAGCAGTGGTTTCTAATTGATTGCTTGTTTGTCTGCAGCCCCAAGGCCCCAGTTCAGCACTTAAATGTGTGCTTGAGGTTGCAGACATTAGTGCTGCTGATTTTGAGTTTTGGCACATGCTTTACTGGCTGGACCAGGCCTGATCTTCTCCACAACTTGTTTTAGGCTGCTTGTTATTTAAATTTATGCCATTTCCTTGGCAGGGGGAGGAATCAGCCATGCTTGGAATGAGTGGTTACGTGGAATATCTGCGGGAGCAGGAGGTTTCGGAGCGCTGGTTCCGGTACAACCCACGGCTCACATGTATTTACTGCGCCAAATCCTTCAACCAGAAGGGGAGCCTGGACCGGCACATGCGGCTCCACATGGGCATCACACCTTTTGTTTGCCGCATGTGTGGGAAGAAGTACACCCGCAAGGATCAGCTGGAATATCACATCCGCAAGCACACAGGCAACAAGCCCTTCCACTGCCATGTGTGCGGCAAAAGCTTCCCTTTCCAGGCCATCCTCAACCAGCACTTTCGCAAGAACCACCCTGGCTGCTTGCCCCTGGAGGGGCCCCATAGCATCTCCCCTGAGACCACCGTCACATCACGGGGGCAGGCAGAGGAGGAATCTCCTCCACAGGAAGAGGCTGTGGCAGTGGGGGAGACAGCACAGGGATCTGTGTCCACAACCGGGCCAGATTGAAATGCGGCTGTGGAGTCCCAGGAGAAAGGACTGTTCCCATTCCTGGCTCTAAAGAGTCAGCACCAACCTGGCAGGCTGGTACTGTAATTAGTGCAATGCCACCACTGAACAGAAAGAAGCTACCAAGATGTTGCCAAAATAGAAAAATCTCTTTCTCTCTCTTCCTCTCACACACCCCCACACACACACCAATAGAGTGTTAAATGTTTTTCTCCCTTATTCCTCCTCCTCTTGGAGAAAAACAAAACAACTGTGTCAATCAACTTCTTATTCAGGGATCGACAGCATTTTAAATTTTTTTACTGTTCTGTAGTGATCTGGGACAAGCAGTCATTTGTATTTCTGGACAGCGCTGTGGCCCAGCAGGGTATCCCACCAGCAGTGCCAGGTTCAGCCACAGAGCCATATCCACTGCTCCCGCTCGAGGGGAGAGCAGGGGCAAGGGGCTGTTGCCTTCTTCCCTTCCCCAGGTAGTTGCCAAGCAAAGAAAACAAAAATACTGTCCTGGTGGAACCTGCCTTGCCCAAGTGTATTTATCCGTGTCTTATTTTTGGTGTGTCTCTTTATGTTTTTATTTAAACTGTCATTTTAGGGCTTTGAGCTTGCCTGTTCTAGGCATGTGGCTTACATTTTCATTTAAACTGTTATTTTAGGGCTTTGGGCTTGCCTGTTCTAGGCATGCGGCCCTGGTGCCCCTTGTTAAAGTGGGCACAGCTACGAAGTGGTATTCCAGAGGTCAGCAAAATGTGAAGGAAGCACTTCAGCTACTGAGAGTGGAATTTTGCAGCTGTGAGGTTTGCATGGGACTCTGATGCATTGGGAGAAGGGCTGGAGAGGTCTTCCAGAGGAGGTTGTCCTCTCCTGGAGCTGAACTGGAGAGCTCAGACCACTCTGAGGTCCTGGCTGGAGCACTGTCATGCTTCAGGTGTTGCTAAGGATTAGGAAGAGATTTTCTGGAGTTGCTGATAAGGAATTGTGGAGTTAGAGGCTGGCTACCAAAGTCCTCTTTCACCCCTGCTTCCCCCTCGACACGCACTTGATCTTTTAGAACAGCAATATGGGATATGGGAATACTGCAATGCTGTTGTCACAGCCGAGCAATCGCAGGTGGTTGCTTTTAAACCTGTTTCTACAAACTAGTTTGATAACTTTTTTATCAATGAAATGCAAAAAGAAAAGAGAACCTTACTCTATTTCCTTATAACAGTTCAGGAGACTTAATAGTGGATGATTCCTAGAGCAATCACAACTCTGTCCCCTTGCATGGACTTAACATTTTTGTATTCTGAGTAGCTCTGATGTTTAGAGCAAATTTAGCAAACCTGGAGAGATATGCCTGCGTGTGTGTTGTGGGTGTTTGCACGGGCTTATGTGGTTCATAACCAGAAAAGCATGGGACAGGAAGATAAGTGCAAATATCCTGACATCTTTTTTTTAAAAAAATATGCAATATTTTAAGTTTTCTCTAGTTCTGATGCCAAGTTGTTCATGATGAAGGCGGGGAACAACAGGTTGCATGTATCAGGTTTGGTGAAGGAGTACTCTTGAGGATGTATAATGTGTATATGATAAGGAAGGGTGAAGTTCTGAACCTTAAGGTGATGGGAGGAACAAGGAGACATTGGAGAAGAAATAACACTTCATCTTGCTTCAGCAAGAAAGCTGGATGAGTGGTTAGAGTGGGGGCTTAGCAGGCTGGAGACTGACCGAGTGACAATATAGCTTGACCTGCTGTCTGACTGCAGTTTTGTGCACATGGAAACATCTCCAGCCCTTGCTTTACCCATCTGCAAATTGGTACTTGGGATCATTTTCCTGCCCCTTTGGAGGGAATAATTTGGAGAAGGGTGATGTATTCTTGCCTTGCTTTATAGATTTTTTTATATGTGAGGTGTCTCACTGTTCTTCCCATCTCTCCCTCAAAAAGAGATATGGCTCTAATATGTTTTTGTGTTTGGGAAAGGGCTCGGTGCCAGTATCATATGTAACAGGGATGTAATAAGAGGAACCTTTCCCGGTGTTCTGAGCTAGGAACCTGCAAAATACCGTTTCATTGACCGTTTCAAACAGGAAAACTGATATTTCACCTCTGTTTTCCTTCTGTACCTTCTTCCTCCTCTCCTGTCAAGGGCATCCATCACACAGGGAGTGGTTTGGCCACTCAAACAACCATCTCCATCAGGTTTCCTGGCAAAGGTCAAACATCATGGTACCAAAAGAGTGAGGTTGCCAGAGAGTTGTGACAGAGGATGAGGTGAGAGGGTGGCCGAGGTAGGATTTGTTGCAATCAAGGTGCAGGGAGGAGTAGAGATATGCTGCTTTAGTCATAGCTTTTGAAGTTACCAAAAATGGAAGAAAAAAGTTAAAAACTTTGAAATCCTATCCTGTTCACACTAGAGAGCGTAAAAAGTAACTTTTAGTTGCATAAAAGATTTTTAAGTGTTTTAAAATAGAAATTTTAAAGAATACTACCAAACTATAAAAAAAAATATTTATATACATATATTATATAAAAATATAGTGGGAAAGTTTCCCTGCTAAGCTTGCTGTGAAGAGAAGGGTGAAGGTGCAGTAACTGCTACACAAGCAACATTTTTCTGAGACAGGTGGCAACCGTAGTGAAGAAAGGCTGACATAAAATGGTGAATGCCTTTGTTCCCATGGCATAGCTGTGAGTTTCTGGAGCAGGTTTTTATTTTACTGTATCAATACTGTGAACAGAGGAGCATCCAAACAATACAGGATGCCGACAGTGCATCCTGTTTGCTGATTCACTACTTCAAGTGGCCTGGTGAAAATCATGAAATTAGTCCTTCATACCTTACTAGGCCGAAAACAAAGCTTGTGAAAGGTTTTCAGTTTCTCCTTCTTTGTATTTGCTTTTCTTTTTGTTTTTTGTTTTTTGGGGTTTTTTTTGTGCAGAGGTTGCCACTGTATAAATGATCATATCTGATTGCATGCAAAAGAGCCAATATTCTTGCCCAGGCCTCGCTGAGGTGAAGTTTATAGCTTGTAGCTAGAGTCAGTATAAGGTATGGTAGTGGGAATCATTTTGATATTATTTCTGTGCATTTAATGGATCTGTATGTATGTGTGGGAATCATGATGACTAATATTTCTTGAACAGTGCTGAAAACAGTTCAGGCCCATCCACACTAGACATTGGAACCAGTTCTGAAGGAATTTTTATTAAACATTTCTTTCAGTGGTTGACTTCCTGAGTGCAGATGAGACCAAGGTTCAAGAAAAAAGGGGTTGGAGATTGTATAAGGTATGGAAAACCTCGTGAATTTTCTGGCAGTGGTGTAGCTACTTAGAGGTGCTTTCCCTAACAGAATGATACTGTGTCCCATTGCCTCTGCATTGGTGTGGCTCTTTGCAGTTGCACCAAAGCTGTGGAGAATCAGATGCCAGCTTTCCAAGCGTGAATGTTTCTGTGGTGGGTTGAGGCAAAGCTTTGCATTCCCATGTCTAGCTGCATCTTGTTCTCCCAAAGCTGTGATTTCAACTGTGATTTAAAGAGGATGTGAAGAGAACTCTGATGTTTTAATACCTCTGTACATAACATTTCTATCTGCTTTAGAGTTAGGGCTTACTAACCCATTTGTTTTCTTGCCTCAGGCAACAGGGAGAACACACTCTGGTTTTACAGTTTGCTTTCTTGGAGGTGGACATAGTTCTTTGCTGTCAAAGAACTTACCTCCCAAATGTGAAGAGTTGTGGTTATTTCCTTAAGCCTGCAGCAAGCCCTGGTGCCAAGTGTCAGCCAAGTGACATGATGGTTGCCACGGCTGTTCCCTGGTGCTGCCAGGTTCCCTGTGAATAGCTGTGAAAATAGCAAGAATTGTTTTAATACCGTGTTGCTGCTTTGGAGAAAAGATAAACCTCTTCGTCTCAGGAGGATGACTGATGTGAAGCTGGGAAAAGGAGAAGGCCAAAATACAGTTAGAGGATGTGAAAACAAATTGTGCTTTTTATTTCCAGCAGCTAGAGAGGGATGAATGAGAGTTTTTTTGGGATGTGAATTTGTTACAGGAGGCTAAGTACATGCTTAGAGCTAACTTAGTAAGATCCAGGGATAGCCCGGTGAGAGCCAGAGCAGCCGGTGCAAAGGGCAGTCTCTACTTGTCCTCTCAGCATTATCTACCATCATCTTCTCTACAATATTCTCAAGCTGTGATCTGTATAATTTAACTTTAGTTTGGGTGCTGGGAAGAACAGAGAGCATGTTGTGTCTCTGCTGCTGTTTTAAACCCAGAGGGGTTGGCAGTGACTGACCCTGTTCCCATCAGACAGCTATTCAGAGCTTTGGGAACAAGCTGCAGCCCTTCTGAAAAGCATCATGGGGCTGGCTCGGTGCAGAGGGCACAGGGCCAGGATTTCAACCCTCTGTGAGCTCAAGGTTGAAATACATGGACAGGACAGCTCTGTCTGCTCTCATTGCTTGTCCTGCTCTCATTTTGTGACAGCTCCATGGCTGTGTTTCCATCCCACACATCTGCAATAGGAATGTCACTTAACAGTGACATGCCCATTTCAGGAAGTGATTCCAAGCAGAATTATTTTTTTGGAGTAAAGTCCTGGCACTTTTGGGTGATTCAGCCCTAACAAGGCCTTTGCAAGAGCAGAGTTGTAGCTTTTATTTGCTGCTGACTTCATGTCTCCTGCAGAATCCAATCCATAAATAGGAAGACAGCTGCAAAGGTGCCATTGATTTGGGTGGTAGGTTGATTGGGAGGTAGATAGGATTGTGCCTCTTAAAAGCCAATAAAAACCAGCATTTAAAATCATTTAAACTTCACCAATATATTCTCTTTGATCCATGACTTGCCTGCCAATTTAGCCATGACAGCATCTAAATGTTTCTGCAGATTAGTGACATCAAATGTTCAGGCTCTGCTGGAAATATTTTGGGGATAGAAAAAGTCCCTGCTCATGGCAGGATGGTTGGACTAGATGACCTCTAAAGGTCCCTTCCAACCCCCATACTATTCTATAAGTCAAGAAGCTATCATTCAAGGAGACTTTTTGCCAAGGTCTGGGCTCTGAGTTTTCCCAGGGAGCTGAGCCTGTGGCCAGGACTGCAGTTGGAAAGCCTGGAATCCACTGCCATAGCAATATAATTGTGGTGAACATTGCTTCTGTCGCAAGGTGAGAGCCATGCACAGAGTTTTGATATCAGCAGTTAAAGGGCCTAAAGAGGAGCTCAGAATCCTTATTTTAATCACTATCATTCACAGGATATTTTAATCTAAAATACATATGTACCTGTGTATGTATGTATGTATATATATATATTTGTAACCAAATAGAAGTTAAAACTATGCAAGCAATACTGGCTACTTCTTGAAACTAAAGCCTACCAGAACATTTTGGAATAGAGTAGATTTGGAGTAGACTTGCTGTGTTTTTTTGGTATTGTTTTATAACCAGTAAAATGCAGCAGGCCAAAGTTTTGCTGCAGTTAATCTTACTAGAAATTTAGGTTATTCCTAACCTGGAACCCACTCAGGTGGATTACAAAATTATCTGAAGAGTCCTACCATCTCTAAAATATTTCCATCTGCTGAAAGGCTTTGGCTTGGCAAACATAGAAAAACACAGAGGCTGGGAATTAGGAGAGATTGAATGTGATGATTGGGCTGATGGAATCAAGAAAGGACTGGGAGCATTTACTTTTGGATGTAGGATTGAGTTGGTTTAAGGGAATCTTCCTGTTTGGGAAAATATCCATTGCTGAGATGGAGGCAGTGATCAGAGCATCCTTGGGATGAATTCTGGTTTTGATGGAGGGTATTGGAAAGCTTCCTGCTGAACCTGATGGTACCAGAGTTTAGGCTGCTGGGAGAAATTCCACATGGTTTCTGCCATTTCTTTGTGTCAGATCTGATATTTGCTTTTAGAATTAACTGCATTATATCTATATGTAACTTTCAGTGACCTTTGGCTTTTTATTCCTGGAACTGTAGACAATTCAGGTTTCCCATAACATTATCTTCAGCCCAACTGTGAACAAGTTACTACTGCTTCTTATAATTTATTGTCTTTCTGTTCCTGAATGTCTGTGTGATCCAGCTGGTCGCCAGCACCACCTTCCAGTGTTTCATTAGCTTTTATGCACAGGGAATTGTTGCAATGGATAAGTTGACCATGCTAGTTGGAAGAGTAGAAGCCATTGGAGAATGACTTGCTTCCTCTAGCTGTCATTAGGGAGTGCACACACACATACCTGTATATACACATATAGAAACAAATATAGTGTGTTTCAATATAAACTCATTTAGCATTATTCTTATTTAATTTATATTTTAATCCAGTTGTAAACCAAAGTATTACAGCTTGTGAAATGATCCTCTTGGAAATAGAAGGAACTTTTTTTAGGTGGGAATTCTGAAAGGTCTTTGGTGACATAAACATGGATACAAGTAAGACTTAAGAACTTGTGATGCTGGGGAGTTGCAGCCTTGAAAGAATTTGAAACTTCTGGGTAAAGTTGGATGGTGGGGGCCTTTTGAAGGTGTTCTTCATGGTCTTTAACAGTTTTGTTGTAAAACAAGGACGTTCTGGCAAAGCTAGAAATAAAATGGTAGAAATCAGTAAATCAAACTATGATCTGGCACAGGTGGGAGCTGGGGAGGTAGCCACAAAACCAGCCACTGATGTATTTAGTGTCTAATTTAAAGTTTTAGGAAATGAGCCGTTGCTATTTTCTGATGTCTAGAAGTGTTTGGGGGTTTGTTAATAACTTCTGTGAAGGCGCATGTTCTGCTGTCACCAATGGGAAGAATGGATTTAAAGATAAGATCTTGCTGATTTTTTTTTGTGTCAGGGAATAATTTCCTTTCTGAGGAATTAGCAAGTGCTAAGAACAAATTCACCTCTAACATGTCCTGCAGGCTTGGCAGTGGCTCTTCTTTCTCTAGGGAGAAATAAGACAGCTGAAATAATAAGAGAGTTTGCCTGTTTTCAGCCCTGGCTGGTGCTGGTGGCACTGGAACTGCACAGGGGGATGGGTAGAAAGGTGGAACAGCAGCAGAGCATCACTGGGAAGAGGTAGTGCATGTATCTGGCATGCCATGGATGCTGTGGGCAGGGAAATGCTGGGTTTAGAACCTGCACGGGGCAGAAGCATGCAGGAAATGCTGCTGCCTTGTGAGACAGGTGTCCAAAGATGCCTATCCTGCACATGGCAGTTGAGCAGCACCAGGGTTTTACTTGTTACTTGCTGGAGAAAAAAGGGCCAGTCCCCTGTGGGGGCAGTTTTGCTGTGAGCATTTCAAAAACTCCATTGGAAGGAACTGAAGGGTGAGAAGTAAAGGGTGGAAAGGGTGGTACCAGACTTCAAAATGCCATTTTCTGAGTTTTCTGCAAGTGTTGAACACTGAAGTTTGTTTTTGTTTTAGTGCTTTCTCCTTTACCTATATAATTTTTCCTATTTAAACTCCACAGCTCAGGGGAGGGTGCAGAGAAGATGGAGCCAGACCCTTCCTGGAGGCACACGGTGGTAAGAAGGAGCAGCAGTAGGCAGCAGTTTATAGAAGGCAAAATGAGGTTAGGTATGATAAGACATTATCTCACTGTGAGTATACTCAAACAGCATTGGATCTGGTTGTCCAGAGAGGCTGGGAAATCTCTATTATGGGAGAGTGCAGCCTCCAAGTTCCTGTTTCCATTAGACTGCACCAAGCTGTATTTTTGTTGCCTTTTTTTTAGTTTTATCATGTAAAATGGGAAGCTTTACTGGCCTTCCTAGTTCATATAAGTTAAGCTTTTGAAACACGTTCAGGTATTTTCAAATACTCCTGTGTAAGTTCCTTATTTAATCTGACATACTCTGATTTATTATTTTACTGCAGTTACCTAAGGCAGTACTTAAAAAATCAGTGCTTTTTTTTTTTTTTTTGCAGACTTTCAGCTTAGCTATTGTTAATGTACCTAACACCCTTCCTCTCAGATCGATGGTGAAATGCCTGCATTATTTTTCTACTGCAGTAAGGCTTACTTATTTAAACCTTCCCATTACCTTTGCAGTCAGACCCAATACCATTGGCTATGAAACTGTGAAACTAATGAGAAATGAAAAATGACGTTGGATTAATTTACTGCTGATCATAAAATACAGAAAGTGGCAGTATAAAAAGATAAAATACATTTGAAATGAGTTACTCAAATCACAGAATTGTGGAATGGTTTGGGTTGGAAGAGACCTTAAAGCTCATCTTATTCCAACCCCCTTGCCATGGGCAAGGATGTCTTCTGCTAGAATTGGAATAGAAATTACTGAGTCTGGGGCAGGAGGAGGAGTCACAAAACTAGTCTGAGAGAAACAAATTAACTTGATGATGGCAATGAATTGGTTCCCCATTTGGTCAAGTTTTAAAAGCTGTTTCTTGAAGTTTCCCTGGCTCTGCTCGTTCATCTACGTGTCTTGGGCATTGGTTTGATACGGGGGTTTGTACCTCTGAGAGTATTTCTGAGAGTTTACATATGTAAACCTCTCTGAATTACTGTGAAGCTTTTTCCTGAATCCTTCCTTGCCTGTGCATTGGTAACTGAACAGAACTCTTGCCTGCAAGAGGCCAGTGGGATGAGGGTGGCAGCTGTGGGTGACACTAACAAGTGGACAGTGCAATTCTTGGGCTGACAGATTGGATTTTGGGAAGAGGCATGAAGCCTCAACCCCACTGTGGCTGTCTCCAGCCCCAGGGTGTTCTTTCAGTCGATGTGTGTTTGCAGAGGCTGTACAGGACAGCCTGGATCTCCAGAGATGCAGGGAAGGAGGGTGTAGGTGGCATGCAGGCACTTTTCTCATGTGTTAAAAGATTTCTTAAGCCAGGGTTGTGCTATTGGGGGAAGCACCCCAAGTGGGATTGAGAATAGAATTTTGTTATACCCTTTGCTTAAGGCTAATTCCTTGGGCTTCCCTAAGGCACTGGCAGAAAGCTGACACTAGACAGTTTTTTCCAGGGCTGTGTTTTCATGGGGCAAGTGCCAGTAAGGAATATTGGGAAGGGAGAGAGGAGTGTTGTTCAAATAAGGCATGGTTGTTTTGTGTTGGTGGGTAATATGGCTGACATTTAGGATGGGCAAGAGCAATCCTGGGTGGCAAAAAAGACTTTTCTGAATAAGGTCTATTAGAAGCTGAATGAGGAGGAGAATAACATGCACCTGTATGTTCTTGCAGTAACATATTCCTCACCTCATGCCCCACACTTGCAGGGAGAATTAGCAATGGATGAGAAGGCTGGATCAAAGCACTACTTTAGTCTGAAAAGGGAGGGGAATGAATGCAGTTTTCCCAAGTCTCTAGTGTGTTAAACACTAGCTGAAGCTTCCATGAGCTGTGACCCCGTTGTCCCCAGAGCTCCCCTTGTTTCCCTGGTGTCCCTCCAACTTTCCTGCACAACACTGTGAGTATGATATCTGTAGCTGTTTTCAAAACTTTGGGTTTTTCCATTAAAACTTCTCAGAGCAGGAAATGCTGTCCTACTGCAGGAGCAGACAGGACATGACCCCAAACAGGGCACAGATAGTTGAGAAGTGGGAGAGAAAGTTTTAAGAGTTAACAAAGGAAGTGGCTTTGTACAGCAATTTGCTAATCAAACAAACTTGTCTTGTAACAAACTTAACTGACAATCAATTTCTAAAATACAAAAGCCTCTTAGAGAAATAGTCAAGTATATCTTCACCAGAAAGATTTAACTGGGATAACGTAATAAAGAGAATAAAGAGCACAGGATTTTGGGATTTTTCAATTTTTTTTTTTTTTTTTTTCCCCCTCTTTTGAGCAATCACTCCAGAAATGTAGTTGCATTCAGCAGCAATGTATTCACAGGACAGTAACTACCTCTCTCTCTTGGAGTGCTGAGGTTACCACACTACACAACACACTCTAGCAGCAAAGCTTTCACTTTAAAGAGATTTGTTTTCCTTACCTCTGTGTTTCAGAAATACAAGTCTGCTCTGTAAAGTGACTCTAATGAAAATGTCATCTGGGAGGGGCAATGGGAGTCCTTTCGGGTACACACAGTCCTTCTTGGCCTCCAGTTCCTTACTGTGACCCTTTGCAGGTTGGCCATGGGGCTCTGACAGTTCAGGGGGACTTTGTCGGCTCCTCTGTGCTGCCTGACAGTGAACTGTCCTCTGGGCTAGAGCTGTAAGACCACATTCCTGCATTAGGAAATCAGTTAATGGTGGGGAAGGTAAAAGGAGTATCCATCTCCCTCCTGCCTCCAAGGCAGCAGGCAACAGTAAAAAAAAAAAAAAAAAAGAAAAAAAAAAGAAAAAAGCAGAAAAAAGCAGAAAAAAGCAATAAGATAATATAGAAACACTTTATATATTGTTCATTAGTCCGTAAGACTGACTCTGCAAATATATATATATATATATACACACACACACACACACACACATACAGAGAGGAAATCTCTCATGTGAAAAGGTGCCATTGTTTTTTCTAAACAGAGTCCCTTTCCAAACTAGAACAGCACTTTAAATAGGTTCCTCTTAAAAAAAAAAAAAAAAAAAAAAAAAAAAAAAAAAAAAAGTAAAAAGCAAACCCTTTTCTGCCACAATGCACTTTAACTGGTCAGATGAGTACAGCTGTGGCTGGCTTGGGACACGGCTGTATGGGCAGGCAGCTCCAGGGCAGCCACAGCTTGGGGGGAAGCAATGTTGCCAGATGCTTGGGCATGGCAGCTCTACCTCCAGCAGCCCCCCAGGCCAGCATGGCCCCCACACCACCTGGAGTAGCCCCACTGTGCCCAAGCACTGATGGGGCTGGTGGCTGTTAAGGGACTTCATAATGTGTCAAGAGAAACCCACCCTTGCCTATCAAGAAGATTTAAACCCCATTTTTTAACAGGTCAGAAGTTGCACCCAGTTACAACCCAGCTGGTGGCCCAGGGCTGAGCTAAGCTGAATAGCAAAGCTAAGAGAAAACTGTTACTGGGGTTGTGGGGTTTTTCCATAACATGAATATGGAGACCTTGTCAGTTCTGTTTGGTTTTTTTTCTTTTTTAATCCAAGTTTTTGTGTCCCACATTGATTCTGCTGTGAGCTGGTTTGCAGAGTAACCATTTGTAACAGAAGTTTTGCTGTCGCCTTCAACTAGTGACCTGTAAACCAAACCTTTTTAGGACAGGTGTCCTAATACTCAAGACTTAATTTCACAGTTAAGAAATTTCCTGCTGTACTAATTATTCTTTATTATTTTATTTTTGATTGCAGTCCTTATTTCAAGAAAAAGAAGTCAGTGTTCAGACTAGTCTAGAATAGGCTGAAGCCTTCTGTAACTTGTGGATATCAGACTGTTCTTCAGTGATTTTGCAAGCTGTTTCCAAACTGGTCCTCCATGACTGCTTCCCTTTTCCTCTTCCAGCGGGTGCTGGCAAACAGAAGCTCCATGGCCACTGTGTCCAGGGACAGCCAGCACTGCTGGAGGGGAGTGAGCAGGGGTAGAAGGGGAACCAGAACTGGGAAAGGGGGAAAGAAAACCAAGGTAAAGGGGACTGTACAATTGCATTGAAAGCAGTTTAGCAAAAAGCGCTCTCATTGGACAGCTTTAAGAACAATGTGAATGAAAATTTAGCAACTTGGGTAAGAATTTGGAAAATGCTATAAATGTATACTTGAAATTCTGTTTGTATTAGAAAAAACGAATTTTCTTCTTTCTTTTAACACTGTGTAAAAGAACATTATGCATGTGAGTGGTTTGAGAATTAAATGGTTTAATACTCAGGTCCTTGTCTGTGTCTTATGGCTGACTGGTACTGACCCAACGTGGATTTTCCACCTGATCTCAGCTGTGGGCAGCTCCCCACTGCCTTAAGCTGCGCAGCTTAAGAGAGGTTGCGGTTGCACAGTGCCAGGCTGTTCCTGGCAACTCAAATGGCTTCTGTCCTTATTGCATGAGTTTTGTCTCACCTCTTCAGCAGGCTCAGCCATTTTCAGTTTCCCCAGGAGGAACAAGCCCTGTGCTCTTGCTGCAGGTCAAGTTTTGGATGTTTTCCCAGCTGCCTATGGCAGGGGAAGTATTTTGGTTCAGTGCCATGCTAGGGAGACCCAGGCCTTTCCTCAGCCCTCCTCTTTCACCAGTGTCCATCTCCACAGCTTGGAGCACAACTGAAAAAGGCAGAGATTATAGGAGGTTGTGTGTTTCAGTGATGTTCACAGGCAGAAGATGGGATCCATCAAGAAATGCCACAGTGGTAACTGCCAGAGGAGGGCAGGGAGAGGGAGAGGAAGAGCTGCTTTCTGAACTCTATTTTCAAAATGCTTCCCCTTTTCTCCCAGGTTCCCAGTTCTTCACAGCTTCTTTCCAAGGTACTGCTCCAGGGGAGCATGTTAGCCCCTTAAGGACACCTCTCAGATTCGTACAGTTTGCTTGTGGGACAGTGGAGGAGGTGGCCCTCCATGTCCTAATCACACACTACTTGCACAGATGCTCAAGCAATCCTGCTAGGAACAGGAAAGAGTCAAACCACTGATAGCTTCCAAAACTAGAGACCCAGTGACCGAAGATCTGACATACCAGCTCTGTTCAAGTTAACTCCTTCACTACTTGGCTACTCTGGTAATTCCTGCCAAAAGAAGCCTTTACAAAGGTGGATATTTTGCTGGTCCTACACAATCCGGAGTAAATGGGCCACTGGGGAGTGCAACCCTCTGTCTGCACACACCACTTCCATCACCTCCTGAGGACAGGAACTGTGCTTTCACTGTCTGGTTTCAAACAACTGCCTGAAATGGAGAAATCTTCTGCGTCTTTAGGACAGCCCTGCCCAAGGTGCTACAGCAGTACAGCCACCCTGAGAAAACAAGAGGTCTGTTCACATGTGGCCTCACAGCAGGCCAGGACACCTCAGCTCCTGGAGTAAACTTGCAGGTAAAATAATAAATTTTTATCAAAGCTACAGCTACTGGTTACCTTACCTGGGCACTGTCATGGTTCGTGGGCACTGCTGCTATAGTAACTGTTAGATGAAATCTTAATATTAAAAAAGAGTTTCAAAGCCTTAGCTATGCAAGACTGTCACTAGTGACTCTTAGCACTTGGGCACACAGGACATACCAGAGCAGCTGGCAAGCAGGGCACAGCTGTTTGGCAGCTCTTTCACCCACACAGAGCTGCAGGAGGGTGTTCTAGCCCAGCCAGCACATGCCTTATGGCTGCTGCTGCTCCACTCACCTTTCTGGTGTGGGGCCCCATTTACTGGAAAAGACGAATTTAAATCTAGGAAGTGGCTTAATGTAAACTGTGCATTCAGAGAGCAGTTTGTTACATACAGGTCTATAGGTTTTAATGAACCAAGTGATCAGAGTTACAGAGGGGTGGGCACAGGAAGGACAGCAATGCTGGGCTTGGGTGCCACAAAAATACTGGTGCCAGATGAAATTCAGTTTTCCTTGCCATGGAGGACAGGACAGGTGAGGTGACCTATGAGCCCCCTCCCCTGACATGGCAGGGAAGAGCAGGGACAGCCTAGTTGGATGCAGTCCCTCCCTGCAGGTGGCACCAAACAGCAAGACCAACCACCCCAGGAGCAGCCCATGCATTGTGACAATAACCCACCTCCCCTTTTCCCAAGGCAGAGGAGGGAGAAGTGAGGCCCTACCAGCTCCTTTAGGAGCAAGGATCAGCTATCCTGCCCATGAAGATGATGGTGTTGAGGGTAGCTTCCCGGATGAAAAGCAGGAAGGGCCTGTTGGCATTGAAGATTTTTCTGTTCATAGGGAAAGAACGGCCAGAGATGGTGACAGCTGTAGCAGCTGAGGCCTCACTGCCTTCTTCATTCACCTGCCAACCAAGAGAGAATATGGGATTAAAATACAGGCATTATGCAGCATGGAGAGAGCTCACCTTCCTCCTCCACAGAATGCAGGGGCCAGACTCTCTCCAAAGCCCAAAGCTGCTGAGAAAAGAACACTACAGGCTCAAAGCTATTTTCTTCCCTTTAATATTTGTTTTTAAAAAGAAAGAGGAAGACACACTGGCACAAAACAAGGCTCACCTCAAGGAAGGCTTTGTGGAAAGCCTCAGACACATACAAGTCTGTGCGGCCCTCTGCAATGATACCTGAAATACAAAAATATACAAAGGTAAAACTGTGAGTTTAGAGACAGCTCAAGAAAGAACATATATCCATCCTTCATGGCCTGGGATCAGGCAGAAGGCATGGCTACCCTAAAACAAAAACATCTTCCTCCACGTGCAACTTACTGCTAAACTCAGTGCAGAACAGGAATGAGTGTCCATGGCAGACTTTACCAGAGAGTCCATCACTGACTGCAGCAACATATAAATGCTTTCATGTTCTCGTTCCTCGTTGTTGCACCTACTACCCTGCCATCTAGGGAAGAATGGCTGCCCCTCACCTCTACCCTGCACTGCCCTATCTCCATATCTCACCTGGGAGTCTAGCATTTTCTGGACTGAAGAGATCTTCCAGCCCCATTTTCCTCAGCTTTTCCTTGACACTGAAGCTGTCCTCAACACGGAAGCGAGGGAGGTAGACAAAGAGAGACATCTCCTTCATGGAATCTATCCAGTCCTGCAGCTTCTCTGATGTCAAGTCTCGCTCCACTTTCTCCAACAGTGTCCCGGCACTGGGCAGGACCAGCACCATTGTGATATCGTCCCCTTTGTAAGGCAGCTCCAGCACCTGGACTTTGTCCTGGGCGATGAATGTGTAGTGGAATTTGGACTCCTGGTACATAGTTGGGACCTGGCAGGTCTCACCACTGGCTTTATGAAATATATCCAGTTTTGTATTTGGAGCTGGGAACTGTGATTTCCAGTGCCCCTAAAAAGGAGAGGGGGAAAACAAACATGAGCACCATGTCTCCTCCAGGTAAATGTACTGTTCCCCAGTTTTGTTAGCTTAAAATATTTTAAAGCTTCTTGTTAGCTTTTGTTACCTTAAAATAAATGGTGTTGACCAGGACCAAGACAGTGAGATCATCAATACCATTTTCTGGGATCACTTCTGTAATGCGCTTCTCTGTCTTATTAGCCACCCACTCATTAATGATTTGCCTGGAAAGTTCTGGCTTCTCCTGAAGGAAGAGACCAAAAAAAAGTTTAAACCAAGGGTTTTAAACCCTTCTTTGTACCCCTTCTGCAGGAGAAAGGTTCACAGGGTATGTGCTGGGGGAGGACAGTGGAGCTTAGGTGTGATGAGTGGGGATGTGGCTGTGGTTAAGGTGAGCTGAAGTGAGAAGAGCTGCATCCCAGATTCCCTTTTGCTTTCACTCATGTCACACACACCCAGAGCAGAGAACTTCCTCTGGGCAAAAGACAGGGATGGACTGGGGGGTGGGGGGGGGTGGGTGGAACCAAACAAAAAAGCAAAATCCTGAGCAGTTCTAACTCACTTTGAAGTTCAAGGGCCAGAGTTTTGCTCCATAAACGATTTCACTGATGTTCTGGTAAGTCTCATTAAAGCTTAAAGATTTCTCCCCGAAGAGACGGTTGGCTGATACCAAATCTGAGGATTTGTTTGCTTTCCTGTAAAGGCGGCAGTTCAGCTTGGCAAAGAAGAAATGGATCTGATCTGATGTTTTCTCTGAAATGGTGTCAAATTGAAAGACCTGGACAAGCCAAACACCAACAAGGAATCCGTGAGAAGGTTCTTGTGCTCCTGGGCCCCAGAGGAAATGGTAGTGCAGCCTTTGCCTCAACAGCAACAAATTTGCAGGCCCTCAGAGCTTCACCCTCCATGTGTGGGAGCCCAAATCTATAGAAAATCAACACATCACTAGCCCAAGGCCTCCTTTGGAGAGTCCAAATGGAGGATTAAACTCTGCTTAGATGTGGAGATGCCGCTCCTCTTTCCAACACCAGTTTTCTTGCTCTCTATACCCCGCCTTTGACTGGTCCCCAGCTTCCCCTTTAAATGCTGTTAAAATTAACACAGTGTTCATAACCCCCTACCATACCCCAAGATGAGCATTGCACCAACAGGGCCTAAATCTTGGGTCATACCAGGTCATGGGAGGACTCACATGTGCTAAGCCCTCCTGTGACAATACTAAAGGCTACTCCTTCCCAGGAGGAATTTTCATGGCCTGTTGGGTACTTCTGGTACATTTTTACAGGGAATAGGAATATGTAGCTATCATTTTTGCAGCCCAGGGAATTTTTTATCTGTTCCCAGCTGCCAGCTGGAAGGACAATTATTATTTGTCTACTACTATCCAACTTCAGAGATTTAAGGCACAGAAAATCCCACAGTACATTGCTCTTTATGAACCTCCAAGATCTTTGGCACTGTTTCCTGTAAGGCAAAGCTGGTGTTAGCAGCCATTTCATAGGAAAAATGGAGATTAGGAGTGCAGGTGTGGGTGGCTCAATGGGAGAAGGCTCCCCTTCCAGTGGGAAGGGCTGCCCAGAGGGGGACACACAAGTAAAGATTTTGGAGATGTGGTTATAGCTGCTCTACTTGGGCTGTGTGGAGAACCCCAACATCATTTGTTCCAGAGGTAGGATCTGTAATGATAGCAACAGAGGGGACAAGAGCAGTTTGATTTACACCTCCTCATTGCAGGGAAAAAGGCTCCTCGGGCTGAGGTCTCCCATTGGAGAAAAAGGTATAGGCAGCATCAAACCCCACACAGCAGGTAAGTTGTCAGGTGAGTCTGACATTGAGTGCTGGGACAGGCAGGGAGTTAAATTAGTCACATGGAAGAGCCAGAACTCAGAATTACCTCTTAGTCTGGGATCAGAACTATTCCCCGAGTATAGGGCCAATGGGTGGAGGGAGAGGCTCCCCATGTACTGGCTCCCCTGCCCTGGAAGTCAGGTGAACTGCAGGATCTCCCATGTGTCCGATTTTTGTCCCAAGGAAGAGAGAGAAGGAATGTCCCTCTGCCAATGGGACTTGATATCATGGCTTTTCCTGCTTTTTACATAAGGAAAAGCCTAGCTCAACCTGCAAGGAGAAAACTGTTGCCATTCCTTTCCCTCGCCTTCCAAATGGGCTTCCAGATGAAAACTAATCTCTCAAACCCAGGAATGCTGGATCCAAATAGGGACTAAGGGGAAAGAGCTGGAATCTAAAGAAATCCAGAGACAGGGCTTGGAGCAACCTGGTCTAGTGGAAGGTGTCCCTGCCCATGGCAGAGGGTGGAACGAGATAAATTTTAAGGTTCTTCCAACTTGGGATTTCCTTCCCAAGGCAAGAAGCTATCCTGACCCTGAGAGTAGCCATTAGCCATGATCACCTTTCCTGTCTTTCAGATCTGCTACAGGAAAAGGCTGAGGAATCTCCACCAACCTCCATGAGCTGCTGGAGGGTGCTACCACAGGCTCCAAGCTTGGTCATGGCGAAAGCTGTGGAAATGCTGAGGGGTGACATGAAGATGTTTTCCCCATTGTCCTTGGAGTCAGCCAGGTACTTGTAGAAGATGACAGCAAACCGAGAGTTGGCTTTTGACAGCTCCCAGACCCGGGGGTTGGTGGACTCTGGGAGCTTGTCCTTTGCTGGCTCTTGCCCCTCACCCTCCTGGGTGTTCTTTTCAGGGTTGCGATAGATGCAGATAGGGTTCACTGGGATGTCACGTGGCTTTGCAGTGCAGATGTCTTCCACGGTGTAGTGCTCAGGAGCAGTCAGCCCCAAGACACTGAGCAGACACACCACAAAGAGACACATTGTCCTGGAACCAGAGAGAGAGCTTAGACATGCTGCCTGTCTGTGAAACCCGTGCTGCTGCCAAAGCCCACTGGCCTGTTCCAGCCAACATCACAGTGATAGGAGCACACAAGTCTCTCCAATCCCACAGTCTTCTCCAATCATCTTTTGCCCTGGACTTGCAGGATAAACAAGGACAGACAGATAACAGGATAAGCTTGCCTGTGAGAGCACACAATACTTTTAGAAGCAATACACTGAAACTAGTGTTTTCCCAGTAACCTGGGCCCCTCTTTTTTAAGAAGCAGGCTCAGCCCTGACAAGTTTGTACCAAAATGGATGATTTGAACTTTTGAGTCCTCCCCATTGGCAGGTGAGGTGGCTACAGTGTAAGGAACCTGCCAGGCTCACCTCAGCTTTACAGTACTTTTCAGTTATTGATGTAGGAGATACTATGGCAGAGAAGAAAGGTGATAAGGAAAAGGTCTCCAAGGAAGTTGGTCCCTCCATGGACTGAGCAACTCTAATCCCCCAAAAATGTACTTTTATAAAGTATGGTGTAGCTGGTGCATCACATCAATTCCTGTCTGAAGTTCATACCACCTCAATGCAAACTGGTTGTCCTTGGTACCTAAAGAGTGTAGCAGGCTAATGGTAATTACCGTGTTCCAGCAAAAGCTGGTCTCTGAAAATCTCCCAGCAAGAGAGAGATAATTTTTATTTTCCACTTTGCTAAAGCACAATGAACCTCAGAATGGTTTCAGTTAAAAGGAACCTTAAATATCATTTGGTTACACCCCCTGCCATAGGAAGGGATATCTTTGCTAGACCAGGTTTTTCCAAGCCCTGCCTGATCTGGCCTTAGACACTTCCAGGGATGGGGCAGCCACAGCTTCTCTGGGCAACCTGTGCCAGGACCTCACCGCCCTCACAGGGAACAATTTCCTCCTAAATCTCATTACCTACCAGCTCTGGCAGCAAGGTCTCATGAGCCATCCCAGGGCTGACAGAGCATGTCCTGCACGCTGTGGTCCTAAGATGCCCTTTGCATGACTGCTTTATGTACCTCATGGCAAGAAGCTCAAGCACCACAGCCACAACAGTTTGGAAAACTGGGAGGGGCTGGCAGCCTGCCCAGGTCTTGCCAGCTACCAGGCACTTTTTCAAACTTGTGTCCTAAGTCGGGTAAGTCTCTGCCTGCCTCCACATACTGCCACGGCTACCAAGCATTGCCTTCTGAGAAACTAAATTAAAAGTCACCTGCATTTAGCACTGGTGACCTTCCTATCTGTGATCTTCCAGTGCCGGTGGGCCAGCACCTGCTGGAGGAAAACAGGAGCAGCTCAAAGGCTGATCTGGGATGAAGGCGACCTCTGGGATCTTCCACAACCCTCTCCCCGGGCTCTTGGCCAATGACTTCATTTGTGCTCCAGTTCTCTGCAAAAGCAGAAACTACCTCATCTGGCACTAAGACTGTCTGGAGCCCCAAGGCTGTGTGATAGCATAGCAAACCAAGAGGGGCTCACTCAGGAAGTGGCCACAGCTCTCACTGGTAATGACATATAGATTATCTTGCAAAAGGTTTAGGACAGATGCAACACTACAAAGGGTAAAAAAAAAATCTAAAAAGGAAGGGAAGTTAACTAATTACAAAAGCAAAAATTAACACCCAGGGCAAGAGAAAGAATATTAAGACAATTGAAAATACACCAGGAAGTGCTGTTCTTTCAAACCTTTCAATCCCACAGGAAAAGTCAGCCAGCAACAAGCCAGACACACTCCAGAGTTCTGCAATCCTGGGGCCAGGAGCAGAGCCCTTCACTGCCTGCAGCAGTCCTCTGTCACCCACACTTGGTCCTGCAGCTCCAGCAGCACCAACACACAAGTGGTCGGTTCCACCACGGAAAGGACAACCTCATCATGGTCCCTGCCCTGTTACTCCACTCACCTCCAGGGAAAGGCATGTCCTGACCCTGTCTGTAAAAGGACAAACACCTGCTTCTGTCAAGCAAGAAGAAGCTTGTGGTGTTTACCATCACACAAAGTGCTGCTAATCTAATCTCATATTTAAAGGCCAAAGCACAAGAACGGGGAGGGCACCTCCATCCTCACCTTGTCCTCATTAAATAAGAAAGGCTCCCTGTTTTTACTCTGCAGTAAAGTCCCTGCTCCATAAATTCAGAGCTTCTGACACATCCAATCTTGTCTTTTACAGGCAAGAGTCCCTGCTGCTTCTTAGACCAGCTCTTTGTCATAGCATTTGGCCAAAACCCACTCCTCCCTACACAGCTCTTCAACACTCCCTTTTTCCTCTGCAGCACTGACACGCAGTCCATGTGTCAACCTGGAAGGATAACAAAAGTATTCCCACAACAGCACTTCCTGAAAGGGTTTACTGGCAAGGGGGAATGTAGAAATTAGAAAAGGTTCTACCCAGGGTGAAGCAACAAAAAGTGCAGAAAGCCAAGAAACAAGTTGCTGATTCAGCTCAAAATCAGAAGGCTCTGGGGAAACATCAAGAAACTCCCCGATCCCTCAGCTGCTGTGCAACATGGCTGGGCTATTACCAGCACACTCCATTTCCATCCTACTGTTCCATCGCTATAGGACAGAATGATTAACTGGGCTTGCAGAACCCTAGCACCCACCCTACTGAACCTACTGGGGTTACTGGTAGTGGTGAGAATGTGCCACAGCACCCACACACTGTGCTACACAGCCCAGCTAATGTAAAATAGCTCAAACCATTTTGAGATTAATTTAGGCTCTTGAGAAACCTTCCCCACTGCCTCACACCCCAAAACCAGAGTCCAAAGCAAACCAGCAGTGCTCTTTCACAGCCAGCAATTACTCAGGGCATCCTGACTTCATTAACTGCCCTCCACACCACGACTGGTGCAGGCTGGCAATAAAAGTCAAGCCTGACAATTTAGAAAGCCAGCTTTCATGAAAGCTAGGGTGGGAATAAAAGAGCAAAAGAAGAGTCTGTAATAGAGCAAAAAGCCACTCTGGCAGCAGCTAAAATTCATAAGCTCCTACTAAGGGAAAAGAAGCTGTTTCAAGGAATTAATTAACAATGAAAATGAATAGCATCTCTTTCTCTTACCTGCCCCTGTACCTCCAGCTTTCTGCTTTTAGGAGGTAAAAGCAAATTTTTGAGAGAACAGTCTTGCTTGAGCCCAAAGCAGCTTCCCCACTGGATCTCTCTGCTCAAACAGAGCTGAGACACCAGCAGGGGATGGTGGGAGGGGAGTGGGATGCTAAGGCCAAAGGCTGATGACCAGCTGCTGAAGGTTAAGCAAAGAACAGGGAAAAAAGAGGCAATGTTTAGTTTGAAAGAGGTTTTAAAGTTCAATCTGACAAGGGAGAGTTTGACCACCTACCCCACACATGTGCCACAAGCCCTCAGTTTTTGCCAACAGAAAATGAACTGCTTATCCCATGAGACAAACCTCAAACCCTTCAAGAGTTTGAATAAAAATTATATAAGGTATTTGTAGATCTAATTTTAGGATCTTGTAGCTAAGCAAAATGTTTTCCCCATCTGCCTGGGACAGCCCTGTCACCTCTTTCCCCATTTCCTGAACAGACACAAGTTGGAAGAAATTGCCCCACTTCACATTCTGCAGTTTCAAATGCATGACATCTTAAATACACCTGGAACAGCGTCCACAGGGAATGGTTACAGCCCCAAGACTGACAGAGCTCCAAGAGTGTGTGGACAACACTTTCAGACACAGGGTGGGATTGTTGGAGTGTCTGTGTGGGGCCAGGGGTTGGGCTCTGTGATCCTGGTGGGTCCTTTCCAGTCCAGGATATTCTGTGATTCTGTGACCTTTCACTTGCACTGCTGGAAAGCTGAGGATTAAAGCAGCTCCCCCAGTTCCTGTCCAGATTCACAAGTCAGAGTAAGTGAGCAGTACTGAATGCCATTTCTGATCCAGGATGCTCTATAAATTCTGCAGCATTGCTCCCTGAATTTCAAATCCCAAAAGCAGGCTGGCTCAGCAGGTGCTGTTTCTGTCCTCCAGTAAGAGGAACATTTTCCCTTAATGGAAATTTAATTGCAAAATGATTGTATCAGGATGGGACACAGTTAAATGGGGCAGAGATTGTGGAGATAAACTGAAGGGTAATGTAAAAAATGTCCTCCATGAGAAAGGAAGAACTCACATACTGTACCTTGTTATTTCAGGTGGTTGCTGGCTTAATTTTTTGAGGTAACCGACATGCTCACAGGTCCCAGGGTTTTCAGAGTGATTAGGGATGCTCCACACCCAGGCAGACATCCCAACCACAGGTTTCCATTTACCCGGTGCTCAAAGATAGTTTAAAGCAGTAAAACCAAAAGCAAACAACTATGCACATCCCAGAGTTCTCAAGGTATTTTAATCTAGGATAGCTGAGTAAATCTATCTTTTGAATGCAGCATGTAAATGGTAATTTATGGCTTACTCAGCTCCAAGCAACAACCCAGCACTCGCATCTGAGCAGCCATCCCTAAGGAAGCACCCAACATGGCCAGTGTCTAAATACAAACTGTTAGATACCTCATTTGCTCTAATATAGAGGCTGTTTTACTCACAAAGCTGCTGCTCTCAGACCCAAAGCAAAGATCAGAGGCTCAAAACCATCCAGCACCAAAGCCTGTGGTAAGACAGATGAAGCATCACATTTTGGTTTTAGTCTCTCCCACACTTTCTGTCCTGGAGATAGGGAGTTGGAGTTCACAGTTAGGAAGAAAGAGGTTACAGAAACAACTGAACACATCCTAGCTGTAAAGAAACAGTTCTCAAACATACTTGATTGGCAAGGAGGAACATAAATTGCCTTAATTTGGTTTTGTGCTTTGGGTGTTCACTGTTTAGTTTCATGGCTATGCACAGGAAAATGACTCTTGCACTCAGAGCAAGATGGGATCAAGGAATCTCATGAGCTAGCCTTTTCAAGATTTTTTCTATCCTGCCATCCATATCCAAAGGGAAAAAAATTCCAGCAGGTACTGTCCACTTGAGCTTGGTCTCCCCTCTTTTCCACATAAAGAAACCCAGCAAGTTTCCCCCAATCTCTCTTGATGGAGACCACCCACCACTTCATTCCACAGGGATCTGACTCTCCACAGTGCTTCAGATCTTCCTTTTAACAGCCAATCACTGTAGGAATTCAGCTCTCTTTTTTTTCCTTCTGAAGTGAGTCACTGCATGAGGATCCTGAATCCTCAGATTAGTGGGAGAAAGGGTAAGGAAATCATCATCAACTGAAACTTAGTTTTCTGCTGGATTTCCCTCTAAATACAATTCCTTTATAGGAACTGAATGTTTCAAGTCATCCATCCAGCAAGTAAGTGTGGAAGTGTGAGGGGACCTAATAATGAGCAGTGATGGGATTCAGCCCAGCAAAACATACCTTACCTTGATCCATAGTGCCCAGGCTCAAAATAATGAAGACAATAGTAATGAACATTATGCACAAACTTGAGGGGCAGAAGGCTGTGCTTGCCCTGGAGTAGGAGAAGGAACAGTTTTTCAATGAAGAAGCAGCAGCTTCATCTAGTTTCAAATTTACAGACAATAACTTGTTAATGACCACAAAGAGGTGTGAAAGGAGAAAACTAAACATTGTAAAGTAGACTGTGGAGCAAAACTTATTCTCACTTTAAGGCAAGTTCCAAATCAGGCTCAACATTAGACAAATGCTGCTCACTCCTTGCTCTGAAGGGTCTGGTTTGCTTCTAAGCAATTAACAAAACAGATTATTTTGAGTATCTTTTCTTATCACCTCTGGTGAAAAAGTGAAGGAGCCATTTAGTTTACAGGTGAGGTCAAAAGAGGGCAGGCCAAACCCAGAAGACCTGTGGCTTCTCCGCCATTTGGCATCTCTTATGCTCCAGCCCAGCAGAGAACACACACACTTTGAGCTGGTGAAAATCTTATTCAGATGGTCTGACAGTCATACACCTCACACAAAATTTAGAGGAATGTACATGCATCACAGACAGAAAATAAGGGATATTTCAAAGCATTCTTCATTATCACTTAATATAAATGCTGACAGAAAAGCAGGTAAGACCTTGTAGACACTTCCATCTATCTACAAACCAAAGAGTGAATCACTTTTCCACTCTTTTTTTTGTTCAATCTGCTACTTAAAGGACTCTCAGACATTCTGTGAGAGCGACGTGATGTTGAGTCAGCTTTAAGAGGGAGAAAAGCACAGTGAAGAGGGAAGAAATAGCATTTCATCATATGGCTTTTTCTATATAACTGCTATGTATGTACAGTAGGTCTCCACTCCCTTGTTCTTTCACACAGAGTAACACTGTTGGCTCCATAGGTCTGAGAATTAAATAAAGGAGACCAATACTGATTTTCAAATCTCTGGATTCTCTTGCCTTTTGCCTCCTTCAATGCATTCTGTCCCACTTCAGCAGAGTATCTAGAATGTTTTTCTTTCAAGTCTAAAAAGTATATTGTAGGAGTTGGATATAGAGAACTTTCTTCTACTCCTTTTGTTATCTTTTTGTTTTGTTTCCCCAGAAGGTAGCAAAGCATCCAACCTTTCCTGGAAAAGATAGCAATTCCCCATGTACCACTGAACATCTTCCCCATGACCAGGCTTGTATGTACAAAACTTCGTAATTCCCCTAAACTTCCAAAGAATTCAATTTATGGAATTCTTCTCATACATTCTACTTCATCTCTGCTCCAATTGCGAATATTTTGGTAGTTACAAACAATAAATATCCACAAAATCAACCCAGAGTCAACCACTCCCGTGAAGGATTGAAATTTTGTTTATGGAAAAGAGAAACAGGAAAGGAAGAAAAAAATAAAGGAGAAGAAAAGCAAGGAAAAACACAAGGAGAATGAATGATATTTTGTTTAGCACTGATTCATAAAACAGCAGATGGAATTTCGCTTATCTAGGATCCTAAAAAATTTAAGAAATAGTTCATAATCTGACTCAACAAATCTCATGGTCTCCTTTATTACCTAGACTATCCTTTATTTTATTTTTTGTTAAATATACCTCTGCAGGGCACAATCACATACAATCAATACGATTGGATAATTACATGAGCTCTATCCCAAGCATATATGTATCAATGTTAAAAAGTTATTTAAAAAAACCAAACAAAACAAACAACCCAAAAAATAAAATAAACTCCACCCAAAAAGGTGATAATGACTGCAGAATGTCTCGGGGAGACTTGTAAGGAGCTAACAAGATCAAAGAAAATTAGACTTACAAAAACCACCAAAAAAAATCATATATCGAGAAATCCCACAACTGGAAGTAGATGATTTCAAAGAAGTGGGAGCTGTCATATAGATCCCACAATTCTTCCTCCCTCCTCTCACACATGTCTTGCTTCACCTCTTCCTCCCCATAGCAACAAATACAGGGATGGAGGGTGAAGAGCTTAATACAATACTACCAGCTAGAAAAAATAAGGAACAACAGCCAAGCTACACAACGGTTGCTAAGCTGACTTAAGGAAAGATCCTTTTAGCATGGAATGGAAGCTGCTTACACAGCAAGCAGAGGCTAAAAGGGGAATAGGAATTCCTTAAAATTAAGAAAAACTCTAAAACTGATTAGTTTTGACCATGTTGATCTTCACTTACAAGAGGCTGCAGATGAACGGCACCAGTTGTGAGCTGTGCAGCAGCTGTGATGTGAACGAGACTGCTTCTTCCTCTCAGGTTGCTCCATGCATTTATTAAAGGCTGCTGCCAAATTTCTTTTTAAAAAGCTACGTATAAAGAGGTCAGTGCACACATCCAGTTGTGGGATCCATCTGATATACAATCTAGTTTGGATGCCAAAGACTTGTGAGTACTGTCTGCCACATAACTATTAAGAAAATCTTTTTAACATTATGAAGAAGCAAATAATTTCTTGAGCATCAAATACTCCACAATATTTTCTTTTTTTTTCCGCTTACAGATACATTTACTCCATATACATTCCACATGTAATCCCATCATGTCTAATGCTTAGACTGCACTATGTGTTGCTTCTGTCTCTCCCAATACTGTATTTTTCAAATTGAAGTGGACAATTGTGTTTTCCTAAAACTTGCAGATCTTCAAAACAGTTTTTTCCTGGCATATGAAAACATCCAACCAGTATATCCAAGGAAAGCTGCCCTGCTGGATGAAGTTAGGCACCTAAACCTTCCCAATTGCTGAACACCTTGCAATTAGGACTAAAAATCATACACAAACTCACTGGAATTGCAAAGATTGCCTGGGAAAGATCATTTAATTAT